CGTATGTCATGGCCATTACCATATCAATAGCCCCGAGTCATGACTGACCATAGCATAGGTTTCTACTTGTTTCTTTAACTATAGCTACAATATTAGGCGAGACCACGATCCATAAGAGACGAGAACAGCTCAAGAAAATAACCAGTAGAGGCCTCGGGTTGGACGACGCTTATCGCGAGACTTTGAATAGAATAATGGCGAAGCGCGGAGGTCAATCAAAACTCGGCATGGATGCTTTGATGTGGATTTCCCGATCGGAGCGGCCAATGACGAGTGAAGAGCTGTGCTTCGCCCTTGGTGTAGAAATAGGTTCTCAAGATGTCAACTCCCAAAATATCCCTGACATAAAAACAGTGCTGGCCTCGTGCCTTGGACTTGTCACTGTGGATGAGAGTTCGACACTCCGGTTGGTGCATTTCACATTTCAAGAATACCTCAACAGTCATCCCGAATATTACGGAAATGCCTACACGACAATGGCGGAAGTCTGCTTAACGTATCTTAACCATGACTCTGTTAATAAACTTCCGACTTCTCTCACTCTCGCCCCCAAATGTGCACCCTTCCTTGAATATGCATCAACTTACTGGGGGTTCTTTGTGACACGCCAGATGACAGAAGGCGTCAAGTCGCTTGCCCTCCAACTCCTTGATGAATTCGATCAACATATCTCAGCGAAAATTCTTTGTTGGGAGATGTTGTACCGGACGCAATCTCCTACTGGATTCACTGGACTTCACTGCGCAGCATACATGGGGCTTCAAGAAATTGTGATATCTTTGTTGGAGAACAAAGATTTGGATATGTCGATGACTGATTTCTTGGGCTGTGCTCCGCTATCATGGGCTGCAGACAATGGGCACGAAGAAATAGTGAATCTCCTCCTGGACCGGAAAGAGGTCAAACCCGACTCGAAAGACAATTATGGTAACACACCACTCTTGCTGGCCGCCTCGGGAGGGCACGAAGGAATAGTGAAGCTCCTCCTGGACCGGAAAGAGGTCAACCCCGACTTGAAAGGCTGGTATGATGGCATACCACTCTTGCTGGCTGCCTCGGGAGGGCACGAAGGAATAGTGAAGCTCCTCCTGGACCGGAAGGAGGTCAACCCCGACTCGAAAGGCAATTATGGTAGCACACCACTCTTGCTGGCTGCCCGGAATGGGCACGAAGGAATAGTGAAGCTCCTCCTGGCCCGGAAAGAGGTCAACCCCGACTCGAAAAACAATGATGGTAGCACACCGCTCTTGCTGGCTGCCGGGAAAGGGCACAAAGGAATAGTGAAGCTCCTCCTGGGCCGGAAAGAGGTCAACCCCGACTCGAAAGACAATGATGGTAACACACCACTCTTGCTAGCTGCCTCAGCAGGGGACAAAGGGATAGTGAAGCTCCTCCAAAACCACATAAACACCAAACTCGATCCCTACCCGCTCTCCTCCCGTACGCCCTCCCCGCTTCCGGAGCCTGCCACAGAGGATACTGAGGTCCCTGCATTCCCCCATCCACAACTGGAAGTTATCGAAATAAAGACAACCGCACCTGCACTCACTCCCCTTCCCCCTCCACCTCTGAATTCTCCTTCCAACAAGGCAGAACTACTCCCCGTCTCCCCACCCCTAGTATGCCCATCCTTGGCGGCCGCTGTTGCAGTAATACTTGTTGCTATACTTGTCGCCTATTGCTTGAATTATTCCGAGTATCTTTCATCTTGAATATTTTCTTTCTGCCCCCCGTGTCTGTCTCGGTCTACCCTGTCCTGTACCCGTTTTTCTCCTATTCCTGGTGGGAAGCAGTACTCACGGCTAGTGGCCTTTCCTTTCCTTTTCTTTCTTGTCTTTCTTTTCTTTTTTTCTGCTGCGGGATTAGTTATTTACTAGTATATTGCGTTGCCTCGAATGTGCATATTCCTGGTATTGGTGGTGTTCTTGTCAAATTATAGATTATATGTTTTCCTTTGGAATATCCGGGGGTTTTGGCGTCTTGCTTGAGTGGAGTTACCTGGGAGATTCATCGGGTGTGTATTTTTTTTATTCCTATTCTAACTTATCTATTATATACTGCTTTATTATTTTCTATTATTCTTCTCTTTTATGTGGGGTTTTGGAAGCCAGCTTGGAAAAAAAGTTTTTCTTTTTCATCGTACTGCTCCCCGGGCGGGTGAGTTTTTCACTTTTGTGATTTTTTCTCCAAGCCATTTTTGTCGATCCTGAATGAAGGGCACGCATGTTATCTATTATTTTTTTGAGACTGCGATTCTTGCTGGCTTTGATTGTTTTAAAAAATGCTTTTCTCCTAATGAGCTGGATAGAGATAATCCAATGTTATTTTAATGACCAATAGACTCGAATTGGGAGACTATCTGAGAAGACTCAATCCTGCCGCTGCATCTTACGGAACCCCTACAACTTTCGAAGTACGGGTTCGATGGGTAACCCACACCTGGCCCCAACAGAACACAACCTAACCCAAAATTACAAATATTCGACCTAGCCCAGCCGAACCTGAATAGAACTAGGTTGGCCCAAAAAATATGCGACCCAATTACAAGCCATATTTGGGATTGCCGCATATGAACGCGGAGGTCAGCGAAGCGTGGGAATGATGTCGTGAGGTTCCAAACAATTGGACTAATATCATAGGAGGCAAGTTAGAAGATTGGCCAACGTTGATGTTAGAAGCACACTTCACTACCAACTCTCTTGTGCAGTCTACCAAGATGATCGCTTCACAACTGTATCTAGGTTGCAAATTAGCTGTGCCTTTGGCCATTACCGCAATGTATCGAAGGTACAATTGAATTAATCAGGCAGGACTGGTAAGACTGCGTTGTCGTTGTCGAGCGGAGGATTCGCTCTAGAAGGGAGATTGATCAGTTAATAGTTCATGTAGAGTTACCGGAGGTGGATAGGAAGGAAGGATAGAATCATCGGAAGTGAACGTTGTGCAAGAATTTGGACACTGGTGAGGTACCGGGATCATGAGTGACGTTGAATGTTTGTTTCGCATCTTCCCTATATTTTCTATATTAGTTACGTCGGGTATTTAAGCTGCTGTACTTCCTCAAGTCGCAATTCGACCGAGTTTCTTACCTCGAAATATGAGAATCGACCCCAATCTTCAAGTTTCTTTTTGAGAAACGAATGGACCGTCTGCTTTTGATGAGTACGCGCCTGACCGTATTCAGAAAGGTATTCCAGATGTGGTCAACCGGTCGATAAGAATAATGGCCTGGAGTGGCTTAACTACGGTAAGGGCAGCAAGGATTAGGCGAGCGGTGAGAGAAACTGGTGGTGGAACCATTTCGTTTCGGGCTCGGAGAAGTCAGTTGGTCCTTGGTGTTGCTAATGTGCGGCGTTCTCACCTGCACCACTTAGGGTGTGAGATCGTATTTATACGCGTTCGTATAATGCCGTATAATACCAGATAAAAACCGTATATTGTCCTAAAAATACCTATTTTATTTGACCCCTAAAGAGTAATATTGCAAAGTCAGGAAAATAGAGTGAGAATCTGAGGAGATAGAGATATATGAGAACTCTTTACTCTTTAAGGCTTAAGAGTAACTGTTTCAAACCTATCATAAACCAAACAATCTTTGGTTATGACCCATTGTCATCTCTTATGGTTAATTTGTAAAGATTGTCAGAACAATTAGGTCATTAATTGTCCACCCAAGGAGTAAATAACTAACATCGAGTATCATATTCTTTCTTTTAAGGAAGATTTGGGGGTCAGGGCTAATGCTATAAGGTTAGAGATTTTAGGGTCTGTATGCATGGTATGGTATAAAAATGAAGGGAAAATATATGAAAATACATGTATATCTGATTACCCTAGCACCACTATACACGGACATCAGATGACGAGTGAGACTTTGTGATGCTGGAGTCAACTGGTGACAGCCAAGAATACTGCTGTAGTATATGGAGTCGGGTGGAGCATAGAACACACCATCGAACCACACAGAAATTTCCCCCCAGGAGCACGAAATAGATACTGCACAACAAGCAAAACCAACCTTGCACATATCCCCACAATCCCCTTCCTCCTTTCCATGTCCACCATGCCTCACCCTATCCCTAACCTTCATCCCCGGAACTCGCGACCACCCACCTCCGTCAGTCTTTATTCAAAAGCACTATACAATAATACAATAAACGTGTGATAAGCACTGCGCGTAAGAAGACAGTAAAAAACTATTCCCCCTCTCTCTTTTTTTCTAGGGTGGATAGTCTAGTCTCCGTAGTACAGTATACAAATGATGATAATCTCCCCATACTTGAGTCCAGTGTAGATCTTGGTTTAGAGCTCAGCTGGCTTGTTGAGGAGGAAGGGGGAGTGTCCGTTTGTTGGCTTCGTCGGTGGTTTTGTATGGTATCATAATAGGGAAAGTTGTTGTAGTTGGTTTGGCAAGCATTTGGACTTAGAGCAGTGCCTCCACTCTCACTAAGGAACTTTGCTTTGGCAGATCTTGCGGAAGGTTAGTTTGAGTACTACCGGTACAGAATTCAAGTAATACGTAGGAGAAAACATTCTGCTTTTCCCAAGCTTTCTTTGAATCCATTTGATATATCGGTAGTCGATAATCTCCAGCCGTGACAGCACACTTCTAACTTCCGTGCGCACCTATCCCCACTTATATGACTTCACTACTACCGAAAAACCAACTCCTCTCGCATAATAATCCAGGCCTCACCTCCCTAGATATAGTTCGGTAGCATAGTTTATCGTTCATCCTTGGTACCCCATCGTATCTCGTCACAACATACCAAAACCAAAAACAATTGGAAAGAAAACCAAATGTGATCCATCTTTTAAATTCAAGTGTATTTATTGCAATAGCAAGATCTATCCCTCAGCAAAAAAAATTAGGCTTAATTGAGCAACTTTTGCTTGTGTTCTAAAGCTAAAAAAACAGTGTTTTTGGTGTAAAATGAATGGCCAACGATGAACTATGTCACCGAGCTGTATAAAGAATCAAGAGAGGTACAATAATGTAATGGTTCCAGAGGGGGATCGAACCCTCGACCTGGCATTAACATTTGAATACCGGTAATATTAGCACCACACACCAACCAACTGAGCGATGGAACCTTGATAAGTCTAACAAATTGACATATAAGAATCTTTTACTAACCAAGCGGTCTTGCGTTCGAGAACTTTCTGGTTGTTTTCCCCAGGGTTCCAATAAAGTACCGACATCTACTCTGCCCACCACAATTCTCAAGACCCCCATCATCCCGCTCTAGTATTATTCCTGCATGTTTTCCCAAAAACATAGAGATCTAAAAACCCAAGTTTCGATACATGCACTGGCAAGTGCCAGCACAGACTACACCCAACAGCTCCCAAACAACCAGAGAGTGTATAAGTATAGTACGCATCTTCCTTACTATCCTCATTCGCTTCCTAGAATCCTAGAACCATGCTTACCGTCAATTAGTCAAGCTACAACTTCTGCACAGTGTCTATACGCCTTAACTACTCAATTCCCTTCAAGAGCAGTGGTATGTCATGTGGTGATCATGAGGAATCACTCGCATTTCCCACCATGAGACTTGTGTTGGAAAGTTGGCACAACGAATTGAATGATAGGTAGAGAAATGAGGAACGTTTGGCATTCTCAATGGAAGGGCGAGATGCCCGTACTATCTACTGTCGGGCGCGAGGAGGACGAGCAAACGACATTAGGAAAGAGAGTAATAGAGATGCAAGGAGGCATATCCAATAGTGCCAGGAAAAAACAAGAGATCTAGACATGGCCATAAGGCCTGATGTAAGGAGAAAAGCAATAGTATGAGTAGTATGACAGTAGCGTCAGAAGCATGTTTCAACAAGACTGCCGTACAAGATTCATTTCTTGTCCCCCCATTGGCGACCCAAATACCCACCCTGAACAGAATCAAAACCCTCAGCCAATTAACCGACGAGCCATTATTCAATACCATGTTTAACAGCCATCGTGCTTTAGTGTGGTATTCCGAAAGCTGCGATGTCAATATCTACCAGAATTAATCACCTTCACAACTCTTACTCCTACTCCTACTGTTATTGAGTGGTTTCCCAGCTGATATAGAAAAGTATTTATCCTCGCCCTTCGTGTTTATCATCTACAGTAGCGTACTCTACTTGGACATGGCTGTTGTGGTTTTGGTGGAGAGTACGTGCTGTTGGAGTTAGGATATACTAATAGTATTGCACTGGGGATAGATTGAATGCTGGAGGTAGAATGGGGGGCTTATCCATGTTTCGTATATGGGGTTTGAACTTTAGGGTTTTGTCGTAGAGTATGGTTTTGTATAGTAAGGTCTTGTGTCTTGAGCATGTGGTGTTGTGTTTGGGATTGGTAAAGATATAAAGTCACTCCCAACACTAAATTTTGTTTTTTTTTTCCCTTCACCATTGTTTAGCGGATGTATCGTGGGGAGTCATAGTTAATTGAGGCTATGATGCCTAAATAAATTACACCTGCGAGTATCGGCGCAGCAACAGGTCATCAATCATGAAAGAATGGACAATGCCCATTGAAGTTTCGAACAGATTTTCCAGATTTTGGTTGGCTGCGCATATATTTACACGAATAGATAGCTTGCTAGAAATTGTGTCTACATCCCTTGGTTATGATAAGAAATGATCGCTTGAACCTGGGGGTGTGGAGATATTATATCCTGCTTGCTGTGTTGATGATAGCTGGGATCTGGAGATCTGGGAAATTACGCCAATTAAATGTGAAGGTATCCAGTGGGTGAAGGTGGAATACTATGGATGCAATAAAATAACCATGGTGGGTAGACCGAAGTTTTTCATCCCACCAACATTCATTCCCACAAGATTTCCATCTCCTGCAGCCGTGTTGACAACCGTCCATTGATTGCCTGAGTCTGGTATTGGCGGTAAGGATGGTGACGAGGGATCCCTCATGGGAGATACTGAAGAGTGGTCAGCTTGGGATGAAGTCAACATACTGTACTGTATTGTATGTGTTGTTCTGACCTGCTGAAGTCTCGCTTGCAATGTCGTGGAATACTGACCGATACTGTGCTGAGAGCTATCGTAGGTGACCTGATTACCCATCGTTATCCACTCCTATCGTATTGTAGGACCTGGTGGTTAGAAGAATCATATCCATTCACATTAAAGTCTTATTTAGTACTTGAGTACGCGTCTTGTCCCGACGATGTTCACATCCTTCAGAAAATGGCCAAGCACCGGGAGGGCGAGGATGGTCCACCATACTCTCTGCATCTGGCGAATGTTCACATTGGCTTGTTTGCTTGATAGAGTGGTGTAGAACGATAAGTCGCTCATTGCTGTTCGGGTAGCTGTTCGGACTGTTTGTGCGGCAGGGTGGAAGGATGGTGATGAGACTCGCTCGTTCATGAAAAAGGAAAAAGCATGCAGACTTTGAGCCTCATGGTCGAAAAGCTCTTTCTTGATCGCCAAGCTTAAGGTTGATGGAATGAGTTGAGTTATTGCGTAATTTACGCACTCAATCCTGCTATAATACAAAGAAATCTGCGGCTGAAAATTCTCTTATGTGAAGTTACAAGTATTGTCATAACACCGCAAGAGGATTCCTCACACCACTCAAGTCGATTGACGCTTTTTCAGTACTCGAGTATACTGAGAATAATTATTCATGAAACCTTTAAGATTTGTTCAGGCAAGGAATTATTCAGATTTTGAAGAAAGTCTTCACCTAGTCCCAGATATGGAGACCCCCGCAAATTCACAAGTGTTACTCGAGTAACAGGGTTCTCGTGACCCTACCGTATGTGCCATTAAGATTATGACGATGAACAGTTCAGCCTAAAAGGTACTGTAGCGATTTGAGTGATTATTTGCTAAATCACTTCGACATTGCAACAATGTCAGTTAGGACTTCATCTGGGCCGACCATTCGAGAATACTCGAGTACCAGCAGCTGGCAGAAAGACTGCTAAGGTATGATGGCACGATACATTTGGGGCTATGAGAACTTTCTGAAAAGCAATAGTAGTTTTCATTCCTTTCGCTATTGGGCAGAAAGGTACTTGTACGTATACAGTGCCGTGTGTTGCACGCACACGGAAAATCGCTCACTAGGGGCTTTTTGAGTTGGATTTTCAGAAAATTGAAGAAGCATCTTGACACTAGGAGTACTGTAGTACCTGCATGGCAGCCAAAAGGTTAACCGTAAATACTTGTACAGTACTTATCGTAATTGTTTTGGAAATCCGCGCCCACCTTGGTCGTTAGAGATAAGTTAGTGGAGAGGGAAATCACACAAACCAGCTAGATTACACAAGGTGCAGGTTGGGTGTGTCCTATTGGTGCTTTCGCCGTTATGATAATGAGACCCCACCATACAAGTGCCCTAGACACTGTGCTTTACCGTAGTGCCTTCGCATCACCAATAAGGCTGAACAAGTGTTATGTCCCCGCTTTCCGCTGAACACCAACTCTGTGACATTCCATCGCTTTCACAACTTGCATTTACTCACGATACTGGTAGAACCACCACCACGCACTCCTTCCAACTAAGATGGATCACTCTAGAAACCTGCAACCGAATGCTACCGGTTCGGGCCACCAAAACAGTTTCAACACAATCAGTAGTTACAACACTATCTACAACAACTACACAGATGAAGAGCAGAAAATTGTAGGATGGTTATCGCCTTTAGAACCTCGTATGCGTCACCAGGATGTGAGTACACGGCGTCGCGATGGCTTAGGGAGTTGGTTTTTGCGAAAAGAAGAGTTTGTCAGATGGCGCGACGGCAGAGATGGATCTAGCAAGGCTACGCTGTTCTGTTCCGGAAATCCAGGGGTTGGTAAAACATACCTGAGGTAGGAGGGAGCGATCAAATACAAGCAACCGTCATAGCTTACTAATTATCATATAATTCCACCAGTTCGCTAGTGATTGACACGCTTTATGACGAACTCGAGGGGAATAACGTCGCCGTCGCTTATCTCTACTGCGATTTTCAGGGCTTAAAGGAGCAAACCCCTGCCAACCTGATAGGTGCTCTGGTCAAGCAACTTGTGCGTGCTTTAGGAAATGTTCCGGAGGAGATCGATAAAGCATTCCAAAAGGCAAATCGCGGCGACAGAGGACTTCGACTCCCAGACATTCTGGAACTCACAAAGGCGACTCTAGCTCCCTTCGAGCGCATCTTTATCTGTATTGATGCCCTGGATGAATGTCCAGATAGGGTTTTACCTGAGCTCCTGAGCTCGTTGCGTGCCATTTCCCAAGGGTCACCAGGTGTCCGGTTATTCTTCACAGGGAGACCCCATGTTCAAGGTCTGGTGAAAAAATACTTTCCCGATCGTGCTCATGATATCCCTATCAGCACAGACACCGCAGATATAAGGGAATATCTCGCGAAAGAGTTGGATGCAGACTTGATTTTAGAAGCAATGGATCCTACGTTGGAGGCTGAGATTATGGATCTTATTCCGCAAAGGATTTCTGGCGCGTATGTCATGGCCATTACCATATCAACAGCCCCGAGTCATGACTGACCATAGTGCGCAGGTTTCTACTTGTTTCTTTAACTATAGCTGCAATATTAGGCGAGACCACGATCTATAAGAGGCGAGAACAGCTCAAGAGAATAACCAGTGGAGGCCTCGGCTTGGACGACGCTTATCGCGAGACTTTGGACAGAATAATGGCGAAGCACGGAGGTCAATCAAAACTCGCCATGGATGCTTTGATGTGGATTTCCCGATCGGAGCGGCCAATGACGAGTGAAGAGCTATGCTTCGCCCTTGGTGTGGAAATAGGTTCTCAAGATGTCAATTCCCAAAATATCCCTGGTATAAAAACAGTGCTGGCCTCATGCCTTGGGCTTGTCACTGTAGATGAGGGGTCGACGCTCCGGTTGGTGCATTTCACATTTCAAGAATACCTCAACAGTCATCCTGACTATTTCGGAAATGCCTACACGACAATGGCGGAAGTCTGTTTGACGTATCTTAACCATGACTCTGTTAATAAACTTCCGACTTCTCTCACTCGCGCCCCTAAAAGTGCACCCTTCCTTGAATATGCATCAACTTACTGGGGGTTCTTTGTGACACACGGAATGACAGAAGGCGTA